CATCGTATTTCTCGATAATCGTTTGAATTTATGCTTTAGTGGAATATTCAATTTACAAAACGAATATTGAAGAATTGATTTATTTTGTATGTAAATGTATATTACACTAGAGTATCTGCCACAAGTCACAGAGAAATCATCGAGGATAGAAAACTAGGTAAAATTTCATCTTATTATGTTATCGACCTCATCCTCATCTTCACTTCCGATTCATTTTTCGAAGATGGAGAAAATTTTTGTATCTCTTAGGTTTTTGCAGATAAGTTATGCTACAGTATTTCTAGAAAGATGTCGACTAGCACTTTTCTTTTGCAAAATATAAAATGCTCACTTATGTTTTCTGAGTCATGAAAGTTTAATTAACGCTGAAACCGTTCTCATCAATATAAGAAATAGGCTTACGACACTCTGTTGATTCACATAATATTAGATATTAAGTGCGATGCATTAGATATTTCCTAAAGAGTGTACATTTAAATTCTGATTGTTTATTGAAATTCTTGATATCGAGATAAGTGGTACATGGAAAGATGAAGCTTTAGCATAAGCAAGGCATGTCAGCGCTAACAGCGATCTAGACAGTTACTTCATGAGAATCGTTTTTAATTTATTCACTCGTTAGACAAGTATACATTATATTCAAAGTCGCTGATAAAGTATTGTTATACCTATAATACAGCAATTTTTAAGTAAGGCGAAGAGAAAACTACTGTTCATATATATATCAGGTGAAAGCTAATACAGATATCAATATAAAATCAGAAAAGACGGAGACAGATGCTCGAAGTCCGTGCTTCTTTAGTAGTAAATAATCTTATCGTTCAGTATGATAGAAATTTTTGTACTCGAAGGTTTTGATAGTCCGAAACATACACATTTAATTGAGTATCAATAGCCACTGAAACAGGTAGAAAAAGTCCAGTCACAGTGCTAGTAGCTGTACCAATACCGACGATAGTTGTACCATTCGGTTGATCATTCAAAAAGAATTGTATACGATTATTAAATCCGTCAGCTACGTACACATTGCCTATTGGATCAAGCACAACATCATGAGGTTGATTCAGTAGTATTGATGTGCTACCAGCTGTTCCAGTAATACTACCAGCTACAAGAGTCCAAGTGGTGGCGCCTATCACCCAGCGAACAATATTGTGACTAACAGAATTAGCAATGAAAAGACTATTTGATGATGAATCAAAGTAGAGACCTACAGGAAAATTTAACTGAGTATTTGTCAAACCTCGTCCATTGCCACCGGCAATTACAGTACCCGATGAAGCATCGAATAAATATCTCATCACACGATGATTATAGAAGTCTGCTATGTAGAGATCGCCCGATCTAGAATCGATGTCAATACCATGTGGATTATGTAGCTCGTTGTTTGCTGAACCGGGAGAACCTGCGAATACATTTCTAGATGTGAACACCTTGGAGAACGTTTGATGAAAAGGTTAAATAATAGATATTTATTTTCCAATCATCTTATCAATGTTTTCTTCTGTCTATTTGACTATTCCGTGAAAAAAAAGCGTTTTCGAAAGTCAAAATTACTTTAACATTTCGAATTATTTTGTCCCATCATTTCAATAGAACCAGGTTCACATAGATACAACTCGATTTATGAAAAACTGCACTTTTGAAGGCAATTCTGAGCCAATGGAAATGATGAGCAAGAATAGTTTTGAAAGGAAAAGTAATCTTGCGGCAAATACAAGTAATTGGGAGAAATTCTCATTTATTAAATCATGGAGGA